AAAAAAAAATTTTAAAAAAAATAAAGAAATTAAAAAAAAAAAAAATTCAACGTAAAGCAAATACAGAACCGCTCACAGCAACGCACCACTCCACAGCGCAGAAATAATAACCAAAATCGCCGCAACTCTCCACCCCATCGACCTCCCCTCTTTCCCGAGCGAGCGCCAGCCGCTAGACACACGCGAGAGGTTCCACGACGGGATTCCGACTCGGATTGCGTTGTTGGATAGGGGGAATTTATATCAGCGATTAGCAATCAGCAGCGCAGGCCCGTTTGCGCGCTCGGAAGAACGTTTGTGTGTGTGTTTGTTGGGCTGCTGGAGCTGGGTAGATATATATATATGGAAATATAGAAATATGGGAATATGGGAATATGGGAATATGGGAATATGGAAATATATATGTATGTATGTATGTATGTATGTATGTATATATATATACTTGACTGACTTCGTTCTTGCTCCTTCCGTTTTGGGTTTAGGGTTGAGTTGGTGAATATTTATGAGCTGGTATGTTACTTGCTCGCAAGATACTCTTTTTTTTTTTGGCGAGGAGGGAGGGGGTGGATAGACTCGACGGAATAGGTCTCTTTTGGCCTCGTGGCTACCCTTTATTTCTGGTAGATGGCTGGCCAGCTCTGTGCTTCGATAAGTAAGATCTATAATCTTTGATGCTGTTGACAATCCCGAATTAATATCTCCGTGAAAATGCTCCGCAAGACCTGAATCGACACCCACACATGAGAAAGAGCCATAGTAGACAGATGGACAGCAGCACTAAGAAGCGCAGATCACGATCACCTCGTGATGAAGGCCACCGTCTCCGTATCAGCCCACCTAAACATTATTGACAGGAATATTCCTGGCCCTAAACTCCCACCATTCGGGCCTCGTCCTCCCCCCCGCCTCCCCATCCAGCCTCATCTGCAAATCTTCCACCGCACTCGCAACCCGCACCAACACCCCCTCACTCCACGCCGTCCCCATCACGCCGAGTCCGAACGGCATCCCCGTCTCCGCACCGACAGCCACTGGGAGGGTCAGCAGCGGATATCCCGCCTGCGCCGCCACGTTCGTGACCTGGCCTACATCACTCGGCACCAGCAAGGCCGTCAGCTCCGTCCCGCCATTGAAGAGCGCGGCGTCGATGCCATCTTCCCTCGTCGCCTTCTGCATGAACCCGCGCGCCTGCCAGTACGTCGCGTTCGTAGCGCCAGCCCAGGCGGAGCTGGCGTCGAAGCCGTCCTGCCCGCTGGCGAAAGCCGGGTGCACGCGGGGGACGCCGCCCTCGCTGCCCGCGTTGGCACTGTTGTAAGCGAGGATGTCGGAGAGGGTGCGGATGGCGGTGTTGTTGAGCTCGGAGAGGTAGGTGTGGATGTCGTTGTAGAAATCGGCCTTGACGACTGTGTACTCGGACTCGTTGGGGTAGCCGCGCGTGCTGCCAAAGTCCCAGTCCCAGCCGTCGGGGCTGACGACGAGGTTTCGCGTCGGGAGCTCGGTGTTGTTGAGGATTGTGGCGCCGGCGGCTTGAAGCTGGTTGAGGAGGGCGAGGAGAGGAGGGTGTTGAGAGGGCGGAGCGTATTGCCAGAATGTGAGCCAGGGGAGGCCGAAGGTCATGTTTGCCAGGGAGGAAGAGGAGGTGAGGTCTTGGGAGAAGCCGCCACTGGGAGCTTGCTGGACCAGAGTGTAGTTATCCCTGGGATCGGGGCCGTAGATTGCATCTAAGCAATACGTTGCATCGCGGACTGTGCGGGCGAAACAGCCTACTGTGTCTTGGGTGTGGGATTCGGGGACGACGCTGGACTCGGTTAGTCAATGAGCTTGTTGACTTGGGCTCAATGAAACTTGGAAGACTTCAGAGGTGGATGCAAATAAATGTTTACCCAGCGCGCGATGTCAAGCCAACCGTCGGCTTGATGCCTACCACGGCATTTCGTTCGGCTGGACTGATCACGCTTCCATCTGTCTCGGTACCGAGAGCAAACATGCCAATATTAGCAGCAACGGCCGTGCCACTACCCGAACTGCTGCCCCCGGGATTCGCAGTGAGGTTATATGGCGAGCGACACTGGCCTCCTCGAGCAGAGTAGCCTTCTGAGTAGGAATTGCTCCTCATATCGGCCCACTCGCTCATCGTGGCATGGCCCATCAAGACCGCACCCGACTCTCTCAGCCGGTGCACAACATGTGCATCTCTCGGCACCACCGAGCCCAGCAGCATCCAGGACCCAGCAGTCGTCTCCATCTTGTCCTTCGTCGCAATGTTGTCTTTTACCAGGAACGGAATGCCGTGCAAAGGGCTGCGAACATGCCCGCCTCTTCGCTCTTGGTCCATCGCGGCGGCGATCTCGAGCACGTCGGGGTTGATCTCCATGACCGAGCTGCGATATCTTAGCCGAGACCTTGCAGCTCTGCTTTGGCAATCAAGTCGCATACCGGATATACTCATCCACCTGTTGTGTCCTCCTCAAGTAGCAGCTCACAATCTGGACCGCGGTCAACGTCCCCTTCGACATGGCATGCTGCACCTGGTCGATGGTCGCCTCCTCGAGCTGGAACCCATGGCATTTGGGCATTGGGAACTGCCCACGATCCGCGCGGGACCCATTCTGCAACAGCGGAAACTCATATGGATAAGGAGAGTTGATAGTCTGGCTGTCTACGGTTTGGGTGGCATTGTATGGGTACTTGCTTGCAACGGAGCTTTCGACACAATTGACAGCGGTACCAACCACCGCGATCAGCGCCCACGGAATCATCATGTCCACATACACGACAACAGCCTAAGCCAACGAGAGCCTGAGAGGAACGAGTCGGGCATAATCGTCATATCGTAGAACGGAGCTCCTCCACCATTGAGCTCTTGCGCGCTTTTCGAGCCATGTACCGGTACCCGCCAGGAATGTAGTAGAAGGAACAAGAGAGGCCGATAAGAGCTCGATGGGTCCCGGACGCAGGAGGCGCCATGGAAACTTGGAAAGGTAATCGTCGGCTCGCTTAAGTAGGCCTCCTTACAGCCTTTCAGTCTTAATCGGTATAAGCGATTGCGGATCGGAAGCGAGTGCGGATTTTTCGAGTATATTGCGAAACTTTTAAAATCGTATTATTAATCGATAACAAGCTTGCTATTAAGCAGCAAGGTAAAGAAAATCTTGAATCTGCTACAAAATAATAACGCGTCGTTAAGACTGAAAGGCTGTAAGGAGGCCTACTTAAGCGAGCCGACGATTACTACGTACATTCATTACTACGCGCGCGGCCAGCTTATCTGTCCCCATGTCGAAAATCATCACAATCATAAAGTTAGATTCACTAACTTTGGGCGTAGCCAGCCATACAGAGCTTTGTAACCCCCTTCCCCAGCTTGAAAAGAGTAGGGTCAAGCCTTTTAATCCTTCTCTTAGTACCTTATACTTGCATTGTAAAAAGGATATATAGATCCTTCCCTGTTCCTTCAGATTGAATTTTTTTCCATTTTCTTCACCATCCTCTGGCATTGCAATTGCATTGCAAGCTTGTGCTCCTTCGCCAGCTCACATTATTGAAAGATTTCTAAAACATTATGTAGGTGAGTTGATCTATCATTATAGATGGTCACTTACTATGCGAACGAAGCTAACAATCTAAATCGTAGACGTATCTGCTGGCAGCCCGGGTAAAGACGAGGACTGGTATTGTGTTGTTATTGTTGTTGTTGTTGTTTTTGTTGTTAAGGAGAGATTCACGGATTGCACATATATGGAGGGGTGTTCCTATCACACGGCGCCTCGAGACGGGATGACCTCAGCCGGAGCTTCAATTCGATTGCATTCCTTTTTCACCCCAACCAAGTCAGTGATGAAGATGTCCCCCATCTGCCTCGATAACACCACCACCATCTCGAAGATCAATACCGCCTCGATTACACCACTACTACCACCACCACCGTCTCGAAGATCAATATGAAGGCCTATATCGCCGTGCCAGTGACGCTGGCCATGGTCGTGCGCGCACACGCCCATAAATCCCTGACGCCAGCTGGAATCGTCGCCGCCGTGTTGACAGCAGCCGCGCACGCCGTCCACCCCTGGAGCTTGCCCTTTGCCCTCCTGGTTGTGTTTTTCCTAGCGGGCACGAAAGTCACAAAGGTTGTTGTTATATCGTCTCGTCGTCTGACAAAAAAAAAAACCTCTACTGACTCGTACAGGTCAAGCATGCTGTCAAGGCGAAGTTGACCATGTCCGCATCCGGGGCAGAGGGCGAAGGGGCGCGGACACATGTTCAAGGTAGGACTCGAGCCTCTATCGATATTTTCACGCACCTAATCCTTCCAATAGTCCTTGCCAACTCCGGCGTCGCATCGCTTCTTACGCTGCTTCACGCGTACCAGCTATACCAGCGGAACGATGGTGTCCTACCCCGAAGCTCGACGGACTGTTATTCATGGCCCGGGGACCTCCTGGTCGTGGGAATCGTCGCGAACTACGCCGCTGTCGCAGCCGATACTTTCAGTTCAGAGCTAGGCATACTATCCAAGAGTAAGCCTCGTCTTATTACCAGCTGGAATCTGCGGGAGGTCCCTCCGGGAACGAACGGAGGTGTGACATTACATGGACTCGCGTCAGGGCTCCTAGGCTCTCTGGTCATTGTCGCTACATCCGTCGCTCTGATCCCGTTCTGCCCGCCAAAGTTGGGAGGATGGGGTCTGAACGCAAGAAATCGCTTTGCATTTGCGATGGCTATATGGGGAGCTCTGGGCAGCGTTTTGGACAGCGTCCTCGGCGGATGGCTACAACAAAGTGTTGTAGATACCCGCACTGGGCGGATCATTGAGGGAGAGGGCGGGAGGAGGGTTCTCGTATCGAAAGCAGGACCAAACAGCATGCACCACAAGAAGAGCGCCGAGATCAAAGCTACGCTGCTCAGCGGCGAGGGCGGAGACTCCGTCATCCAACCCATTGGCGAAGAAGCAGCTGAAAAGTCGATCGAACCCGAACTCGACGAAAATATGGGTGGCATGAATAAGTACGACGTCCGGCAGAAGTTTCGGAAATCCAGCTTCGGCGACGAGAAGCCCAGCCGGATCGTGGAAAGCGGCTCTATAGGGATCCTCGACAACAACGAGGTCAATTTTCTCATGGCTCTAACCATGAGTCTTGGGGCGATGGGAATTGCGAGTTGGGTTTGGAATATCCCTTTCAGCAGCATATTATCATTGTAAAGGCATGTCGTTTCATGTCACGGACTGGAAACGAAATTTGATATTATCCTAGATATGAAAACTGAAGACAGATATCCAACGCCAACCCAAATGACAGATATTAGAGTGGTGTCGATCAAAACGACACGCTCGACTCGTTCATCACGCTGCAAATAGTTTCTCCAGACTATCCAGATTCCGAACTCTCCCCACCTTCTGAGCTTCTAGAACTAGATGAGCCGGCGGTTTCTTTCTTCGCCCCTGTGAGGCGTTCTTGGTCTTTCTTTTCAATCAAAGATCCCTTATAGTATCCTTCCGCTCTTTTCTCAACCTCGCTGCTGTCCATCTTCTTAACAAGCCATGCTCTACAGATTATGGAGTCTGCGGCTCCGAGATCACTAGGAACGACCGTCTCGAGCAATTTCTGAGCCGTCTCACCATCGCCAGAGTAATATTGGGCAATAGCCGCCCAGAGGGCGCTTCGAGCAATCAATTGAGGATCTTTGCGATCTTCAAACTTCTTGCTGAAATCGGTAGCAAGTCTTACGGCCAGATTACCAGACTCTGTTGCTGCTGCGCAGTCGCCCTCTTGCTTGCCGTACAGGGCTCGTTTGGCCTGCATCTTGACCAAGGCGTCGTTAATTGCATAGATCGCGCCGTTGACTTGTTGCCAACCATACGCGTACCTGGAATCTACTCGAGCCTGAACCCTCTCTGGATGCGTGATTGGCAGAGATTGGTCTAATAGTTCTTCTATGTCCTTGGTCAGCTTTTCCATCGCTATCAGGGAGGTATTTCGCGACTTACTGTCCGCGAGCCACTTTTTGTACGGATTAAGCATCTTTGCATCTTCTTCTCTCGCTTCGTCAAGCTTTTTGATGTCTGCCTCGAGCGCTGCCTGCTTTTCTTGTGCCTCTCGCACCTTTGCCTTCGCCTCTAGCAGTTTAGTTTCTTCTTCGAGATACCCGGCTTGCTTCTTGATTTCAGCCAAGCCTCCTTGTGCTGCAATGGCTGCTCGGGCAGTTGCCGCATCCTTGGCCCTCTGTTTATACACCTCGGCTTTATCGAGCACGCGTTCCGCCCACTGCCTTCTCTTCCTTCGCTTCTCGGCACTCTTTGCTTTTTCTGCGTCCTTCTTTACCTTGGCCGCTGCCCTGAGAAGTTCCATTTTCCTTTCCCACGCCGCGTTCATGTTTTTAGATGCCTCTAGAGCAGCTCTGTTAATTTCCTCGGCTTTAGGCCGGTGTTCCGCGCGACAAGTTCTAATCTCTGCATTCATGCGCTCAACATTTTCGGCGAGTGACTTGTACTTCTCAAACGCCTCAGGGCTATATCCAACCCTCGTGGGATCAAGCACCGGCTCCTCAGTTCTCCCAGCTCCAGCAGTCTTAGCCTTCTCCTCTAAAGCCTCGTTCTGGTTCCGCAACGTCTTGTTCTGCTGCTCCAAGTACACCACCAGCTGTTCGTCCGTGGCAACACCCCTCTTTGACAGCTCTTCGCCTTGTCCGTACAATTTGTCGATGCTCTCCCTAGCCCGCCGCCTCACCTCCTTGATCTGCTCTTGGAGCGACTTGTCCGTATCAGGCTTGTTCTTCTTCTCCCCTTCGCACTCTTCCAACGCCCTTTGCAGCCTAGCAACCTCAGCTTTCAGGGCAGCGATGTCCGAAGCTTGGTCGTTCAGATCGGCAATCTGCCTCTTCAGCTCCGCGACCTTCGCCGGCCCGGCATTGCCCAGCGTCAACTCAAGGTCCTTGATGCGCTTCTCGAGCGCCGTCTGTGCGGCAGTTGCGGCCTCGGTTCTCGACCCCATCTGTCTCGCGAGTATATCCTTGACATCGTTCGCCACCTTGAGCTGGCTCTCCAGAGCCGCGATCCGCTCCTCGGTCGCCAAATGCTTCTGCCTCAGGGCCACGAGTTCAGCATCGTGCTGCTCGTTCAGTTTCCTGACTTGGGCGTCTGCGTCTGCGACGCATTGCGTGTGGCGCGCGAGGCTCTCCTCGCGGCGGGCGAATCGCTCTTCTTGGGCTTTGATGGCGCTGGCGGTGAGTGCTTTGCACTCGTCTTTGGAGATC